ACTGATCAGTCCTAAATTTATGACAGATTGTTGAGTGTCAACTGTCAAGTTTGTTTTCGTACTTCGTAATTTCGTTTGAATTTCAAATTTATAGAATCACTTATCTAATATCTACTTCATAAGTACAAAACAGAAAATATCGAAGTAGATAATAAATTTGATTACCAATTTTACTGTTGATAACAGTGGACCCTGTACCACTCCTGCACTAATAAAAGAATTCTAAAACTGCCTGTATTGTCACAGATATTCTGTAATATTGTTCTATAATGTTATAATTATTTAAGTATTATACCTTATACATCTGTGTGACCAGCACAGTAGCAAGGCAGCTAATATAATATAATATAAATATTTTGTATTATCTAACGTGTAGACTAGAATATAGTTCTGTATCATCTATCCCGCGAATCTAGGGAGAAAAAAGCCACGAAAAAATGTGGGATTAAATGACAATAAAAGTGTAAAAAAAGCTTCAAGTTTTTAACTTAATTATTTCAAAAAATGCAAATAATATTAACATTTTACTTTTAAAAAGGATCTCCCTGTAAAATGCCTAAAAAAATGTAATTTGTCTATTTTTCTGATTGTCCTAGGTACCTAGTAGGTACCTCACGGTCTTGTATACAAAACCGTGATCTATTTACAGGCTATGTGACTATGAAAGTCTGTGGTCTACCTGTCTAGTGTCTGTGGACCTTAGATTGTATTTGGGTTGGATATAAGCCTGTTGCGCGAGGGGTGCAATTGAGCCCCCCCCACCCCCCGGCAATAGTGAGTATAGAATAAAATAATTTTTCAAAACTATTGTTTATTGTTGTGTCTTAAGAAAATTCAATTATAGTTCTCATCTCTCGATACAAATACTTGATTGATATTTAAATGCAATTATTTGTAATGGGTGTTTTGTTAAAATAACTATGTAAATACAATCACTATCAATATACTATATTAGTGAAATAAGTACTTAAATATGCTTTGACAGTTTAAAAAAATATCATGGTGAATACGACGCTCAAATCGTAATTACTGAAAATTACTGGGAATTTTAAATTTTGACCTCCGGAATGCACCAACTAGAATCTAGATTCACTTTCACACCAGAAAAGTTACTGAAGTTTTCGACGACTTATCGCGTACCTAAGCATGGACAAAACAAAACACACATCAACGTAAAATGAATACATTCATCGCTCCGCTCGGTGCGTTCAGAATATAAAACACGTATCACACACCATTATTAAATACGTAGGTATTTATGTTACGGGCAATGTGAAATACATGTGTACATTGCCCGGTCAATGTGGTCCTGCCCGGGCAACATAAACCACAATTTTTTTTTAAACCAACCAATATTATTTTTTATTATTATAATTAATTATAATCATCACCTATTTATAGTATTGATTTTTTTTTTAAACAATCAATATTAATTGTATTCATGTACCATAATATTACATTATTACGAATATTTTGATGAAATAACAAAAAAAACTAACAAGTATCATCATTTTATTTGTTTAATAAATTATAATTTTATTATTACCTATTTATTTGAACAAGATTTAGAAGTATGGCACTTTGAATTACATAGTCTGTCTGCTTTTCTACACTCGATATTTAAATAGGCAGTACGATAAGTTACAAAAATAAATTTATACACACTGTTTCAAAAAATGCATAGTTTATTGTATTATGATATATGAATAAAATTAATAATGATTATTTTAAAAAAAAAAAATCAATGCTATAAATAGGTTATAATAATAAAAAATAATATTAATTGGTTGAAAAGAAATTCTTGGTTTACATTGCCGGGCAGAATCACATACATTTCCTGGTATTCCAGTATTCCACATTGACCTAACATACACATTATTCTACACTCCTACAGTTATCATTCCTCCCAGAATCTTTTTTTTTTTTTTTATTTGACATAAACGATCTATACAAATATTGCACAATTAGTTTATATGATGAGTGTATTAAATATGACATGTAAGTTGTGATTTAAGCAGCCGCCCATTAGTGACTCTTGGCTATTGATTAGTTTTTTTTTTTTTATTATTTAATTTTTTTTCTTTTTTTTTTTGACCAGGTTATTTAACATCAGACATTAAAATTTTGCAATAGGTCACGGCACCATTTTCTCTTTAATCTGCGGATTAGGATTTCCTGGAAGAGTGAGGATGGAAAGATCATTTATGAGAGGGTTTGAATGAGTTTGGAGTTTTTTATGGAATCGTGTGTAGAAAATGCGTGCTTTCTCATTTACAGTTTTCATATGGAGGTCATTATGAAGGGTGTGATTGAAAATATAGGGCGGAGCATTGGATAATCGTCGGAGTGAAATGTTTTGGAACGTTTGGATTCTATTAGTGTTAGATTTTGTTGCTGCACCCCACAGTTGAAGTCCATATGTCCAGATTGGTTTGAGTAGCGCTTTGTAAGTAATTAGTTTGGTGTTTAGAGTGGAACACTTATTTCTAATTAGCAGAGGTCTGAGCATACGCATGCGATTGTTTAAGGTTAGCCGTTTGGTTTGGAGGTGTTTCTTCCATGTTAGTCTTTTGTCAAGGAATATAATGCTAAATATTTAACTGTGTCGGATGAGGGAATTAGTACATTGTTGAGAGTAATGTTTGGACATATTCCTTGTTTGAGTGTAAATGTTGTGTGAATAGATTTATTCTGATTAATTTTTACTCGCCATTTTTCATACCACTCGGACAAGTGGTCAAGATGTACTTGTAAGTTTGATGAGGCAATTAAAGAATTTTCGTTGATGGATAAAATAACTTTGTCGTCGGCATAATCCGCTACAATGGTTTGTTGCATTGTGGGTTGGTCAGCTACGTATATGTTGAACAGAAAGGGGGAAAGTATACCACCTTGTGGTACACCTGCTTTGATTGACTAGATTTCCGATGTTGACGAATTAAATTGGACTTGGAAGTGTCTATCAGTTAAATAAGATTTAATTAATAGGTATAATGGGGAGGGGAGAAATTTTTTAAGTTTGTATTGGAGGCCTTCATGCCAGACCCAGTCGAAGGCTTGTGCAACGTCTAGAAAAATATAAGAGCAATAAAGCTTTTTTTCAAGGGATGTAGAAATAACATCAACAACTCGGTGTAATTGATGGATCGTGCTATGTGAATTGCGGAACCCAAACTGAGTATTTGGAAGTATGTTGTTGGCGATAATATGTGGCATTAAGCGTCTTAAAATAAGTCTTTCTAAAACTTTTGAAAAGAATGGCAAGAGACTTATTGGTCTGAATGAGGTTGGGGTTATCAAGTGGTTTGTCAGGTTTAGAAAAAATAACTATTTTAGAAGATTTCCATAACATCGGAAAATATGACAGTCTGAGAACCTCCCAGAATCTAAAACTAAAATCGTTCGATGAGAAATCGTTATTTTACTTAAGTATCGAATTTCGTTAAAATTTTAACTTCAAACAATTAAAGACTAATAAATATCAGCTCATGTTTTTTGTAAATTCTAGTATTAAAAATTTGAGAGGAACATTGTATAACATTTTCAAACTTTTTCACAGAACATTGATTAAATTAACAATAGTTATAGGAAAAAAATAAAAATAAATCACAAATTTGAAAAAAGCCAATGGTAGTACTCATAATCAAAATATTAAAAAAATACAGAGAATATGCTAGTATAAATATGAGTATTAAATGTCAAGTTGGCCAAAAATGTGTCATAAGAAATTAATTCTTCCAAAAAATGTCTTGGAGGTTTTATTCCCCGCTCCTCGTACTAGCTGATACCCGTTAGGCCCATAACATAAGCGTAGGGTGAATTATACCAGGTTTTAAATCATTTTTCTTTGCGTTTTCCTTCTACTTTTTGAATATATAGAAGACCCATACAATAAAAACTCACATAGTTGTAAAATCAATACGTTAATATAGCTCAACTAAGAATCTAAAATTATACCTCTTATTTATTTTGTTCTAACATCAAACATGATTAAAATATATAATTAAACAAGTGATAATTCTCTACAAGTTTGATATGGGTAATAATTTACCTGTATGAAACACTGTTATAATATTCATATTATCTCCCGCCGTAGATACATTTATAGAACATCAGTTATTGCCTATTGGGACGGTACACTGTCATTTGTTTTCTCCGTCTTACAATTGCGTAACATAATAACATCTAATATCATACAACAATAAATGTTATGAATTATAATAATACAATTATGTTATTTAGTTAGAACTTTTTTTTGGGGGAAAAAGTTTTCAGTCGGTCGTTTGACGTCAGTGATTACCTTGAATGCTATTTTAAATAATACATAATTATGACAATGACAAAACAAATATAAATATTATACAACAAAACCAGCTTCAAATATGAAAACAATAAAAGTAGGTACTTAGTCTGTACTTTATGGTGATAAATTTTTTACCTAGGTACATTATAATATACACCATATCTTAATCTTGTTTGAATGACCAGTATAATATTATATTTTGTCATGGTAAAGACTAGAATAAATATACCAAACGTATATAGGCTGCGCTGAGTGAGCTGGGTCTCAAAGATTACCACTTTAATTCACTCAATGTAGGAATTATTTATGTTTAGTATAATTTTTTTGAAAATACCTCAATGCATTATTTTGAACTATGATTCATAATACATTTTATAGCTTTTAGATTTACACATTCATACACAACTTATGATGTGTATTGTGTATATTTAATAATTAACAAGTAACAATTGTCATATTATCACCAAAGACTTTCAAACTTTCAACTTGGTCTGTGATATCACAATATGTGATGAGCACATGATAAATGTGATAGGCGACAGCTTAGATCATATAGTCACGGCTATAGCTCATATCTATAGCCGTGTCATATAGTATAATATGATCTAAGGGCGACAGCAATTAAATTAACCGATGTTTGATAAGTGATAACAGATGCGGGATTTCCCACATTTTTCCCTGGCACAGAAATAGCATGATTACCTAACGTAAACATACTTACATACATATTAATGTATTATTATTCTGTCTTGTGGACAATCCGACAATTAATTCGAAGCGTCAATGCGTCATGTGTACCAGAATTGTTCACATTGAGCGACGGACGCGATTTTTAATATTATAAAAAACCCCCGTTTAATTATTTCGTTCGTAATCAATATATTATACATGTACATATATTTATGAATATTTTTATGTGTATATCGATATCGGCTGTAGTTTTGTTGTATTTTATAATATTATTTGGCGTTGCGCTGCTCAAATAACTGATGACGATAACATAACGATGCTATATAGTGTTCGATCACAATATTAAAGATACAAAAATATAATAATAATATTATTATCACATTCACCGTTCCTAGTATAAAAATTCATTGTGCACAGCAGCTTCGCGAACGATGATCCTTCACGACGGAATGATGATTGACGATGGGTCATCGTACCAGCAAAAAATGTTCGACAGGGCAGCCGTTCTATTACAGAAGTTCCCATTCCGGTTCCTCAACAGAGTTTCCAGGGAGAGCACCGAGCGGACCGGAAACTCACGCAAAATGGCGTTTTACTACTCGAAACGTTTCCCAAACATGTGTACGAGCTCCTCTTTCTACGACGACATCATGAATATCGCCGAAATGCACGTGAATTATTACAGTGAGTATTGTAAACTATTGTTCTTCCCAACTGTTAAAATTCCGAAAAATATTATTAGGTAAGTAGAAGTTTTTTGTTTCCTGAATCCCCAATAGTCGTTATTTCAGTTGTGCGGACGGATCTATTTTGGGTACAGGTTTTTCAGGTCTACATCCAATTTCAAAAATTCTTATTTGTTTTAAAAATAATTTACTTTGGGTGGGTTGAAGTAAAATATATTCTTAAAATAATCAAGTCCCAATTAGTTTGCTTACAAATTTTCCACATCACCCCCCTTGGCCACCCAGTACACATCTATATGGTATTCAAAATCCTCCCAAACTATTAATAGTGGTGTTATAAACTGTTAAAATTAAACATAGTTTGGTTCGTAAATAAACTTGCAAATAATCTGACCAAACCAAATGCTCAACAGTTCAGTCCAATTAGGTACAAAATAAAATGGTAAAAAAATTCAATGTTATTAGGATGATTAATATTTCTAAGTTTTAAAATTTTATAAAAGTTCAGTTTATTTTCAAAACAAGGCCAATTATAATATCCTCGATTATTTTCTGTACACCTGAGACCTGACCCCTCTAATCAATTGTAAGCATTAACATACACTTCCAATTGAAAAATCCTGTGTATGCCACTTGTAAATATTTGACATTTCGTTAGAATAAATTGTAATTATCATAAACTTGCCAGTTGGCAATTACCAAAAAATCAGGTAAAAGTTAATAAAGTATCTACTTGTTTTTTTACCTAATTCCATAGACCTTATACTAGTTGACAGAGCATAATATTTGGTCGATGAGGATGAGTAGAGCTGTGGTAGTGTGGTCCTTGGCAATTTGCTTTACAGTGATATATATATATATATATTTATGTTATATACAGTTTATTCAGCTTATTGAATCATCTACTGATCATGGGCACAGTACAATAAGTCCAGTTAAGCAGTGCAGTCAGGCAAGACCAAGCAATCTATACCCTTGCTCTGTTTATTAGTGTGAGGTCTATGCCTAATACTGAAAATATTATTAGAATAGGTTATAATTAAGAAATTATGATATAATAATACTTATATTATTATTTATTTTATGTAAAAACTAGTTAATTCTCTATGTACTAAGAAATTGAAAATACAATTAAAATTAATATATTTTATAATGGAACAAATAAACTAATAATTTATATATAAATTAACAGAATCCCGTTGGTTTGATTTTGGTGAACTATATTCAGAGCCATCTTTCAATGAATCTACAGTTCCATGGACTAATCGTCCAGTATTACGACCAAATCATACACAAAATACATTTGTTCATAGTGTCAATTACAATTACAATAACAATCAGAGGGATTTAACAAATAGTCATACTCTTAAAGTTCAACTACCCAATAAACTAGTCACCATTCTAGTACCCACACCTAGTTCTGTTGAATCGTTTTCAGCATCTAGTTCACCATTAGATTTTGAAGAGCCTATTACGCCTATTAAAATAATGTCTAAAAATAACAATGATTTTAAAAAGTCACCTGAAGAGAATAATAATAAAATACAAGTCATCGAAAACGATGATGATACTAAAAGTAGCAGCATTGACTCAGATAGTTCTATGTCTGATACTATTGATGAAAAGACTGTATCATATGCAGAAATTATCAAACATTCCAAACCTACAAAACCAAAACAATCTGAAAAGCCTGATTATAATATTATTGAAGAATCTAGAAAAGAATCTATTAAATCTAATAGAATTCCGCCATCTAAAAAAATATCAATTAAGCTGCCTGATGCTCCATTTCTACCAAATAACCAACATTGTGCATTTTGTAAAAACAATGGCGAAGAAGAATCAGTTTATAGAACACATTTTGTTAAAGATGAACTAGGAAATGTGAAGTGTCCATTTTTATCAAGGTACACCTGTCCACATTGTAAAGCAACTGGGACTAAAGCTCACACTATTAGTAGATGTCCATTAAGTAATAAAAATAGAATTAATAAATTTAATAAACAACAGTGATAAAACATCATTAATTATTAACATTGTTTTAATATATATATTTTTAAATATTATTTGTTTAATTTATTGTTTCTTTTATCTTAATAGAGCAAATTAAAATTTTTAAATTAAAATAACTTTATTTACTTGATATTTTTACATTTTATTCTTTTAGATTTTGTTACAAATATACAACTAATAATTAATAATTTAGGACAATTTTGTTCGTGTTTATTCAAGTTTATAAAATGTTATATGTTTTTAGATTTAAATGTTTATATCAGTTTAATTAAAAATAAGTGAGATTATAAATAAGAAAGACTATACAAAAGCTTTGTTATTATAAAATTTCAAATATATGATTTTTTGTTATTTTATTATTTGATTTTAATTTTATATTAAGTGAAATATATAAAACAATTTTTTTAATTAAATGTCTAACTATTACTCTATTAAATAACTTTGTATGAATGATTGTTTATTATTTTTGTATACTTTTGGTATATCTTTAAATTGTTTATTCTTCAAGGGCATTTTAGTTCTAACCAATTTAATATAATAAGATATATCTTTCATAATTTTTAAAGACGGATAAATACTAATCTTTCTCCAGAGAGTTTAATTGACAATTAGTATTGTGGTAAATGGTAATAAAAATTACTAATAGACTACAAACTTTGGATTCGAGTAAAAAATTATCCAAGTATTTCAAGTTGAACAAAAACTAGAAGATATACATAAACACAGCACATGTTAATATTTATTGAATTGGTGTAAATTATATATAACAATAAATATGAATAATGTTTTGAACATATTTGATACAACAAAATTAAAGTTAACAGAGAAGGTATTTATACACTTTTTATTTAAAACATTACAGTTTACAACTTAATATTTTTTATATCAGTTTGTGTTTCATTACAACTAATAGATATAAACATACAATTTTATAACAAAATAAAAAAATAACTTACAATAAAATAACTGTCACAAAATGTACATACTGAAAAAATTATGTAAATATTACATTTTATAATAAAATTAAAACAAGTTATTGACTATAAAATTAAAGTTATGTTAATAAAACAGGATTTAATTTATCAGGCACTATTATCTTAGCTCTGGTCTTGTTTTTTGTCTCTGGTCCATGTGGAAGGGCATATCTCAATTTCTCCCAAAACCAACTATCTCCCCATTTAATATAAGTATTCATGGACAGATATGCTTTTAACTCAGGATCTAAGTCTTTGGTTGATATGTCTCCATAAAGTATGACGATTATACGACTGCGCCGTTCATTCAGAGCACTGGAATAAGCTGTCCTGAACTCTGTACGGCCCCAAACACTCTCTAAAAAATGTTGTGACAATACAATTATAGTTCTTCGAGATTCATCAACTGATCGAGCGATTTGGGCAGGAATCCAATCGCCGACTACCCAGTCTCTGTAGTGAAGACAAAGTTTAAACGGCGAGCTGCCTCCTTCCAAATTTGGTACTAAATGCTTTGCAACTAGTTCTTCGTCTTTGTGAGAGAAACTAATAAATGCATCATATTTTTTATCTTGGTCAAGAGATTCTTCAGATATAGGCCATGTGATGTTGTGAGAGTACAACCATATTTTGATTTTAGTCTTGTTGTTACTAAACAAAATCCATAACAAACCTAATACTAAACTAAAAACAGCTAAAAACATAGACACAACAATGATCGTGGAAGTATTTAATCTTTCTTGACAAACTTCTTCCGCAGTCAGGGTGTATAACAGAGTTGATGATTGATGGCACGTGATATTGGCTAAATCAAAAATCTATTTAAAAAAAATACAAGAATATTATACTAACCATATAATAATAACTCAGTTACAAAAAATACTGCAATATGTTTTACCTTAGATGAGAATTTGTGAATAAAATTTATAGTATTCTTGGCATCACAATCACATATCCATGGATTACTATTCATCGTTAAGATGTTTATGTTGGGTAATGTATTATTCAAATTCGCCTCACTAATCATTGTAAGGTTATTATGTTCCAAGTGTAATTCCTAAAATAAAAACTTAGGTTCTAAAATATATTCATAAAAATCTAAAAAGTTATAAAATCATAGCGTTAAAATAAACATTTTAAGAGGATGAAACACCCCCATGCATTGTCTTGTTGTCTGGTAAGCACGAAACATAAACAATTGTATGATAATCCAAATAATTCATTTAACTTTGTTATAATATTAAAAATACTAGCTTGAATTTACCTCTTATCAAATTTAGAAGTAAGAATACTATCAAATGAACATTAAAGGTTTTTAATATACTTAAATTTTTAAGGTGATTTATAAGCATTTTAAAGTTGACAAATAATTCAGTTATAAAATGATCATAACACTCTTCAAAACTGATATATAAATAAAAAACCTAAGAGATTTGATAGATAATATTTTTAATTCTAAATGTCATAATAGGTTAATTCACTCTTCTATTAAATATAATTGAGGTAAATTAATTATTCAGAACACATAATTTACTGTGTTATGCGTTTATAAGACAGACAACACATGAAGCGTCCTCGGGTAACCTTTATTTTAAAAGTAAAAACTTGAGTTCCATTATAGGTTATGGTAAATTATAAAAAATTCTGAGTGAATCTAATCTTGCTATAGTGTGTACAGGATTTTTTAAAGCTCTGTGTAACTCATAAAAATAATATTAAAGGCTAGAGACTACAGACGCTTAAAAAGTATGAAACATATGTTGTAATATATACTTCTCAAGAAATGTAAAATATGCTCAAAATCTCAAAGTTGATAAAAAAAATCATTGCAATTGCTTATAAATATGTATAAAAAATACCTTGAAGTAACTTAAAATTAAAACAATATCCACTTGCTAAAGAGGATGCAACACCTGTGTGTGTTGACTCTATATTAGAAACGTACTGTTGTTTTTAAAAGTAGAGTGAATCAACCTGTTATAAAATTTAAAAGTGAGATTATTATTCATAGTACCTTGGAGGCTTTTAATAACATTTTAATTACAAAGCAAGTTATGTGCATTTTAAAACCACTAATTTTATTTATGATTATAACTTGATTTAAATTGAAATAGCTGTAAGTATACTTATAAATTTTATTTTGGAGGCTGGTTTTATCATATAATTTACTTTTAAGTTAATTGATGTTAAATTCTTTGTGTTTCTTTTAAATATTTCATTGTTATCAGTTATGTTGTTTTATATAATTGTTGAACTGTAATAGTAAAACTAAAAGCTAAAAAAAAAAAAATTGATTTAAAATCAAACTATCAATAAAAACCTCCAAAATGTCCTGGATAATAATCCCACCATATAATTTTATACAAAGTTCTTCTACTTTAATTTTTAAAAATAACAGAGTAAAATGGATTATTGTGAAAGTAAAATTTGGTATGTTGTAGGTTCGATAAACAGAAACGGCACATGTAGGGTGTCCTTTTAAAGCATATAACCAGAATATATTTATCTATAAACAATGAATCTTTTGACAAGTTGTAAACAGGCACACAACGCAGCATCAATTATCGAGGTAAATACCTCGTGACTTATGGAATTAAATTTATCTTAGCATAAAACAGATCTTTAGATTATTTTGCTATCTGTTAATGTACTACAAACAAATATGCAAATGCTAGAAGTCTCAGGCCCTGTTAATGACTTAAAATGTATTGAAAATGTTGTATGTTGTATAATTTTTAGATACCTAGATTATTAAACGTAATTTTTTACTATAAATATAGATTAAAATTTCTATCAATACCTAGTTAAGGTTACAGGAAAATGTTAAAGAAAAATAATAACAGTTAAAAACTATATACAGGTTAATATTAAATGATCACTCAGAATCTAAAACAATATAAGTGTAAATCAATTGTTTGATATAAAACTAACTTACCATAAGATTTTTGGGTAACTGCGTAATATTAATGGTATTTAAATAGTTATAACCAATATTCAGCTTTTTGATGTTTAAATTTTCATAGTTTGGCAACTTGGTGATGGAATTATTTTTTAAGTTCAGTTCTGTATAATTAACATTTCTACTTGAAATTATTACTTCCGGTGCCAATGTTAAATTTCTATTTGAACAATTCATCAGGGCAGAATTGTCATGAGGACGGTAAGTACACTCACATTCGAAACAATCAGTCTTGTTGTCATCCTTAAAAGTTTTCCAGTCACATGTTAAGCTTTCGATATTCACATTTGAAAATTCTGTATGCAAATCATCATTACAAATCAGTTTGTGTTCAATTTGTAAGTACTTGTACACTATTTTTGGCATTTGGTTATGTAAGAATCTTGCAAATTCATAATTACGACAATCGCAAATGAATTTATCACTAGACAGATTAATTTGTCTATTATTCCAGAAATTGTATGGTGGCGTTTGTGCTCTAGCAAATATTTCTAAGTTTGATAAATCAATTTCTTCTAATGGATTATTGTTAAGATTAGTTTTTACTATCTCATTAATATACTGTATATCTTCTACTCTGAGTACAGTGAAGTTATTACTTGAAAGATTAATATTAATTAACTTCACCAAATTTACCCAACCAGAATCAATACAATTTATGAAATTGTTTGATAAATCAATAGTTTCGACTTTCTCTAAATAATGTAATGAGAATGAATGATTTGAGATCAAGTTACTTATATTATTATAAGCCAATTTCAATGTTTTTAATTTCGGGACATTTAATGCTTCTCGTTCAAAATTTGTTATCTTATTTCTTTCCAAATTGAGGTACTTCAAGTTTCTTAAGTTCCTTAAACCGTAGTTATTAATTTGGATTATTAAATTATTGGACAAATCTAAGGTTTCTAGATGTATTAATGGTCTCAGTAATTCATGATTGATATTTTCAATTAGATTGTTAGATAAATCTAACAATTTCATTTTCCCAGCATCCCGAAAAAACATCACTGGTAGTTCATTCAAACGATTTGAAGTTAATGATAATTCTGTTATATTTGTCGAATTCCAAATCATGTTTTCCGGTACCTTTTTTAAGTTTAAAGATCTGAGATAAACATAATGTAATCGGTCTAAATTTGTTAAAAATCTATGAGGTATAGTGGTAAAGTTACCATAGCTGAATCTGATAGACTCTAAAGAAGTATTTTTAAATGCTTGGTCAGGCATAGTAAGTAAAACATTTTTATTTAATGATATATCAAGTAGTTGATTGAGACGCCCAACAGTTAAAGAAGTAAGTTTATTGTTAGCTAAATCCAAATGCTTCAGACTCTGAGAATTTAAGTCCAAAGAAGTTAAATAATTTGTGTCCAAATTCAAACCTTTCAATGGAATACCATAAAATAGATCACTATTTAGTTGGGTTATCTTATTATCTCCTAAATCTAATATTTCTAAAAGAGTAAGGGGTTTGAACACACCCTCAGGTATTTCCTCCAAGTAGTTTTGTCTGAGATATAATTTTGTTAGATGAGGTGTTCCTTCAAATGATTCATTGGTTAATATTAATTTGGTAAGAGTAATATCTAACGTCTGCACACTCTCCAAATTTGACAAGTAAGTATTTTTTAGACTACCATTGAGTCTCATGGCAACTAGCTTCAGACTTTCAACTTTATTAATCCCAAGTGTTGAGATGGTTTGATGAATTCCTGTATCAGATAATAGACATTTTGCGTAATGCAATTTTTTTATATCAATTTGATCAAAATGCTGTTCCCATTGTATTTTATCTGAATTACATTCAATTTGAATTATGGATTCCATCAAATTGGATTCCACCGTTGATAAACCACATGCCACTTGCATTTCTTCATTGTAAATATCATGCTTACATGTGCATTTATCACTACTTAAGCACATCAAGTCCGATAATACTTGCCCAAGAAGTACTTGGAGTATAATAATGTGCATTAACCAGTTCATTCTGAAAAATAAAAATAAACATTTTTGCTTTAAAATTATGAATTAAATTCTTGGTGAATATTATGAATTTGTAACTAATGAAATATAAATTTATTCATTCAAAATAAAAATATCCAATGAAGTTTATGAAAAAATTTTAATTCATGCTGATAAATTGTCAGGATTATTGATTGTTTTTAATAAATAAATATACCATTCGGATTCAATTATATATAAATTGTACATAAATCAAAGGTTGTTTTTTTTATAAATCATTTAGATAACGCCTCGGATGACGCCATTGTTTAGTAATTACATTATTATTTTACTAGGTACTAACACACTTTAAATAATATTTTTTAAATATAATAGTAATTGAAAATTAGTGCCAAACACAATGAAGTTGTATCATTATTATTATGTAAACAACGCTGCATATAGCAGCAAATTGGAGCAAATGGTTAAATTATTCTCATCGGTTTTTCTTATTAATTCTAAAAGATTATTCTATAGTAGGTATTTATAACTATTTAAAGAAACTTAAAGTCCTTATTACAGTAACAAAAATTAAAGAGATTACTTGGATATGAGAATTTAAAAAAAATCTATTTAATTATTACCTAATGGTTTATTCAGAAGTATTGGGAGTACTACAAAGTAATTAGTAATTACCTATTAATTTTGAGGATTATCAAATTTAGCGTAGTTGTGTATCAAACAATCTTGTTATCAACATACAGACAAAATACGACGTGCATTGCAGTGCACATGCTCAATATAGGTAAAGGCCGTACTGCCGTAGTACATTAAATTGGTACAAAAATGTAATAAGTTATAATATTATATATTTATCTATTATATCATTACTCTTTGTAAATGTTTGTAAATAATTTTGTATTATCTATTGTTAAAATGTCAAAATATTGTGAGAAATATTGCAACACTACATTTAGATAGTAAAAAAAAAATAAATGATTTACACATATCAATGCCTAATTAACTAGGACCCGGGAATGAGATATCTAAAAATAATATTAAACAAATAAAAATCATCTCTGGGAAGGGAGGAAGGAAGTTGCCCCCTGAAATTTTTCCAGTATGAGTAAAGTTATTGCTTTTCTCTCCTGTATTGAGTTTTAATTCATTGAATTCATTTTTTATTTTTTTTGGAAGCATTATGCTTGTGTTTGAATATTATATTTTTGTGTGAATTTTATGTAATTATTGATTAGGTAGTTGTTGAAGTGTATATATTGTAATATGCTTTTGCTCATAATAATAACGATAGATACCTAGTTTTAATTTGATATAATTGCATTAATTTAACAATTCTATACAACCACAGATTATATTAAAAATTTTTTTGATATAATCTGTGATATATCTTCAAGCACTGCTATCATATTGCACCTATATTATAATTGAAGAAAGGATGGTGCAAAAAATAAAAATATATATTATTTCCTACACCTTCCCAAAAAACTACTCTACACATTTTACTAGACGAAAAGTCGCGACAAAAATGTAATGACTGTAGTTGGGTCTTGCTGTCGCGTGTCTGCACGAAGACCTCCAGAAGCCCGCGACAACAACAATTAAACTTGGTAATTACCAATTAACATAGCTGGTAATAGTTGATCAAAAGGTTAACGTAGGGGAAACCTACTTGGGCAGTCTGTGGAGCTTCAACGAACTCTGTGCGGGCATCGCCGTCGACGGAACGTCTGTAGCGCATTCATCCCTAAGACAACTGCGGAGCTTCCGGCGCGAACACGATCCTCCTCCGACTAGACCTGCCAAGTTCCGGGGACAATGAGGTGCGCGGCGGCCGAAGCAGGATCATCATCCGTTCGTCTTACACGCCGTAAACCACAGCCGCCAGATCAACGCGTAAAATGTGTAAATGCGACGTGTGTCGTCGAGGAGACTAAAAACTGGAAGATCGGACGTGCGTTTTGGTATTCGGACAACTGCGAACACGAAACACAACACGACGGCGCGGCTTGGTAGGTATTCGGTGGGCTATTATTTATCGATTAGCGGCCATAAAATGTAAATTAAATGTAGCCAAGTCAAATCGTCGTCATAACTCACGGGTATTTGCACAATATTGCCGATATAATGTTAGATTTTCACCGTCGGGACGACACTATTTCACAAAAACGCGGACCGTGTGCGACACGCTATTACAGCACTAGGAGCCACTACTATAGGCACGAACTACGTGTGTACGACGAGTACGACTAGTGACTACGCGTGAAATATTTCGTCAGTCGTGAATCGTCGCTATTCTATATTACATACGTGGGTATACCTACGTAATAATAATATTATTCAGTCGGTGGTCGCCGTCGTCGGCACTCGCAGTAGTGGTGGAAATTTGAAAACCGAGTACGCGAGGCCTTTCGCGCGCGCCGCGGCGAATCCGCGATCCCCTCTGAAGCACAACCGGTTTCGGTCGTAAATATAACAGCACCAGGCGATAATAGTAGTTATTGGTCGTTGTAGTCACAACACGCGCTCCGAGTTCGTATCGCGACGCAAGATCGTACAAGATCACAACAATATTATAATATTATTGTTGCACGCGCGATTACGCCACCGAGCGAGAACGTGGCAGACCGTCCGGGCGCACGACCGCAAAAACGAAATGTGAATTCGTATGCAATGGCGATGAAAATATACAGAACTTATCGCGTCCGGTTCGGTGGGAGAATGCCAAACGCTCGTAATCTGAGCGTAAAATGCTTTCCGTTGCCGGTCGTTTTTTTTTTTTTCTGTGTTTATTCGATAACGACCCATAATGTTGTGTAATGTGTCTAATAGAATACTATATTTAGCACTGTCCGGCACACGCCGCAACAACACGCCGTAATTTATTATTATGAAAAATAATAACATAATAATACGCGATATTATAATATTGATATCATTATTTATTATAATTTATGAGCAACCGCCGACGATTTCAGGTTACAACCGTTGTACTACAATCGTACATAATATTCGGCTTGTTTTTTTCCCTGAGAATGATATACATATTTTCTATTAATTATGTATGCACACTCCGTGTTGCAACGTTTATTGGCGACAAATGACAATATTCCTATCCGCCGCCCCGAACCATCTTAACCACCGAGAATTCCACGTGTACTCGTTGTCCTCGAATATTTTGTGACATGATGTATTTGCTTGATCGCACAAATTTTGCGATTGCACATGACTTCGTCGATCGCAGCATTGGCCTCGGTTTCGGAATTGTCGAAATGACAAAAATAATAGATCTCAACCCATGGGGTGGATGCCGGATCCAGATGGTCTTGTACTACAATATAGTATTATCTATATAATATATTACATATGGGTATACTGCAAGGGGTACACCCTGAGAGATGACACAAAAAAATTACTGCTAGATGACCTCGGATTGAAATGTGGTTTTCGGAAGGTTAAGTAGTGCCAAAATATACATTTTGGGAAAATTTCAATTTTTAACCATTTTGAAACAAGTGCAGTACAACTTTTTTTGTACAATTTTTGCATAGAAAGTCTTCAAATTACAAAATTGACTAATTATAAGAATAAATAATAATCAAGCTAATTTTTTTGACACTTTGTTCACGTAATTTTTTCTAATTTTACTTGTAAGATAAGATAAAAAATATTTTAAGGTAGGTACCTAATGAAAATTAGGGCAAAAGTTAACACATTATAATATTGTTTTATGTTTATTTAGATTTTGTTGTTTAATAAGCATCGGTGTTTATATTAACGTATTTTCTGTATATAGGATAATGCAATTAATAGTCGTAAGTCGTTTAGCAATGTCTGAGTAAAAAATAAACTTTGTTAAAAAAACAGGTAAGATAATGTTTATTTGTGATTTGGGTTCGGCAGATTTTAATCTTGTGTTGTTTGCTTTTATATTATATTACCTACAGACCTGCTGTGAATTAAACTTTATTATTAATAGGTGATTATAATCCACATTCCACATTAACTGTTTTAATGTTGACTGATCACAGTGTTGAAATTTTTCCGTAAAAAAAAACGATCATTTTTAATTTGTAATATTTTACATACCTATTTAAAACTTGCATGTAAACTGAAATATTATAAAAATGCCAACGTACCTAAACGAACATAGATAATGTTCTTATCTTTGGATTTAATAATAGGTCAATTCATTCACTCTAATATTAAAGCTAACACAAGATTGGTTCTATTAAACGAACATTTGCTATTGCGTTCGGATCATAGACTATAGAGTGAAAAAAATACTTGATCAGTACTCAGACATTAATACAATATATCATTTAGTCGTGTACATTTTTAATGACAATTGAAGAATATAAATAGTAAGTGAGATCCAAATACGCGGCCTGGTGCTGTGGTTGTAACTGAAAATTCTCAATACTTACAAAATGGATGACATAAATTACATTTTAAAAATTTCTACAAGGCAGAATTTTTTTTGTTTTTAGTTCCAGTTGTACAGTCTGTGATTAAAGTTAATCACAGTTTAACCGGCCGAATTTGGCCGGTTAAATATCTGTTATCAGCTGATTAAGCATAATCGGAGTTTAATCACAGACTGTACAACTGGCCCTTAATTCATTAAAAAAATACTTTTTTAACTCTAAAAATAGTTTATATCTCTGGCAAACCAAACTCTATGACTCGTATTGAACTATTCATAGGCTTATGAAATTTTCGATTGTTATATGTTTTTTTTTTCAACAAAATTAATGTCAATAAAACATTTTCAGCTCCGTCAAAAATATTAAAATATAATACAAGGTTCCTCGTAAGTTGTTGTTAGTGGAAATTAAAAAAAAAATTGAGCGTAAATCCACAATACATTTTTATGCGCTTTTGAATTTAGAATTTTGACGAAATTCATAAAAATCAAGAAATTTAGCAAATTATTTTGTTAGAAATTCAATTTTGTTTTGTATCTAAAATTTAAAAATTTAGTACAAGATTCCTTTAAAGTTTTTCTACCTCTATCAAAAAAAAAAAATTGTTTTCCGGAAAATCAAATTAAATTTTTTTGAGCGCTTTAAGTTGAAATTTTTACAACATAGGATTCACTCGATTTCTCATGTTGTGATTTCTTTATTTTGTTGTAATTCAAAAACAAATAACTGTAAACATTTGACATTTACACCATATGCTTATTTCATTAATTCGTATACTTGGTGCAATTTTCAATTAAATATTTTGACTTGTTTTAAGCTGTTGACGGACATTTTCACTTTTTTTAGTTTTTTTCTATGAATGCCAATAACGATTTTTATTGGTTGGGTCGAAAAGCATTAAAATTTAATACAAGAGTCCTCACATATTGTTTCAATATCAGTTGAAAAATATTAAAAATACATAGGCACAGCTTTTTTTCATAAGCATTTTAAGTTCAAATTTTGACATTTATCAAATTGAAAAATGATTCTGTAGTTAAAAATTTATAACTTTTTCAATTTGTATAACTTAGGATTGAAAATTTAAAACAAGTTTCGACATAAGCAGTTTTTTCCATAACTGAAAAATCTTAAAAATAGATTAATACAGTTATTCTTTACAGACATTTTAAGTACAAATTTGGACAAAATCACATACTAACACAAATTTTAACGACGTTTGTCATTTTGTTGTAATTCGGTTCCAAAAGAGGCCAATTTTACATAAGTACCTACCTGTGCATGATATTTTTCCAGCATTACTGATAATTTAAGAAGAATATTTAAGAAGAATAATAATTCAACTTACCGGCTACCGTATTATTAATAATAATTAATAATAATCAATAACAATATAAAATATCCTAGACTGACATACCGTCTTCGCTCAGAAAAGTTTTTTGTATACAATGATATTATATCATTGAATTCAAATTTAATTATTTAATATTTTACACAGGTACCCATATCTATCTTGAAAACTAAAATATCTGAAAAGTCGACAAAACTTTAGCACAGTAATAAGTTCTTAGTTTCTTACCCAAAAGTTTGACAATAGGTCAATTCACTCTAATATTAAAACTAACAGCAGTACAGGCTATATACAGCACACTTTCGAAAATAGTGAACAAAGATTTGCTATCATATCCGTATGTAAGCAGGAGACAACAAATTCGTGGGTTAAGTCCTCTTAAAATTATTTTTTGGTTCGAAACTTATTTTAAATAAAAAATGACTGTCTTAGGCGTATTTTATAGGTACATGAAGAGTTCTTAAATGTTTATGGCTTAAATTTATTTTAGGGTGGGGTATTACATTCCCAGCCAACTAGCCAAGTAATGATGGACGCAAAAGAATAAACATATCTATTGTACAATCAAGTATCAACATTCATCGCTAATTTGCTCCTCTCAGAATCCAAGAATCACGTTTAAAGTTCTTTATAATCGTGCTAAAAATGAATCGTGATAATAATAATATTCAATAAGGGTTGATAAATGAATACCATAATTCACATAACATTAATTTTATGTAACTTCAATTTTCAAAATTAGCAGTAAAATAAATAAACTGTTATACGTCCATTATTAATTAAAATTAAATTTGATTGTAAATTAGGCCCAAATAATTATTGCGGATTTTATCAATTATCAGTAGACTGTAGATAACAAAACATAATAAGCTAAATATAAATTATGATTGCGTAGTGCGTACGTATATAGTATAGTAAAACTATTATATAAACATGTCTCCATCGATTATTAAATAACATTCAACAAGCTTAGGGAAAGATATTAGAATAAAAAATACTGATAAAATGGGATAAAAAATTATCAGTTGAAAATTTGATATACCAACAATTTTTTAGTTACACAATTCGTTCAGCATGGATTTAAAGGGTTTTGATCGTATTTTCTGCTAAAATGTCGTGTTGGTCGAACTTTTACAGTTGAGCCTAGTTCAAAAACAATATAGGTACGGTGTACCTGGTGCACAGTACATTATTATCAAAATTCACCAAAAATAAATTGTAAACACAGATAATAAAACATGTTTGAAAAAACTGAATAAAAAATTAATGTTAAAAGCATTTTTATTAAAAACTAAGTCAATTCAGGTGTGAATAGACTAGTATACACTAAACAAAACAAGTATCTAAACACAATCTACGGATATATTAATGTTTAAAATAATTTCTATAAATTTAATTGAATTGCTGCAATTGTTTCCAACACAATTTTAACTAGGTTAATTGAAATTTATTTCACTAATTATTATATAATAAGTATCCTAAAGTAAAGACATTTTACTAAAACTATTTAAAAGTTTTAAATAATTTAACATATTGGTGAGAATATAAAATTTCAAAAATTGAATTTTAACATATATTATGGAATGCTTACAATACTATTAAAATAACTATCAAATATTTTTTTATTATTTTTTTTTTGTCTCCAAATAACAAACCTAACTTTATTATAAATTATTATAATAGGGTAAATAAATTAGTGGTTCAGTATCATAACTCATAAGTAATAAGAGACAATATTTACTGTCATAAAGTATTATAGTTTCAGTATTGTATGAAACAATTACCAAACTACTTAATTTTTCTATTATACATAATATATAAATAGGAGTCATAAATATAAAGTAATAACAATGTTCAAACATTATGTTTTA